ATAGTAAGCATTTTCCCCTCAGGAGCGCATCCAAGGCGTTGCCTACAAAGGTTCCCGTTGGTCACGGTGCACTTTTTCATGAAAGCAGTTTCGCTCTCACCTCGTTTTTTGTGATGGACGATTTAAGAGAACAGCATGCAGCTGTGAACTTTTGTTTCCTGGTCTGAAAAAATGCTGCAGAAACTGTTGTGATGTTGAACACGGCTTAGGAGGACAGCGCTATGGGAAAAACTCCGGTGTACGCTTTTCTCCTTTCATAAAAGGTGAAATGTTGATTGATGACAAACCTTGTTCTGGACCTCCAATCAACTTCTTGAAAGTTCCTGCACTTGCGCTTGAAGACCTACAGTGGACGACTGACGAGATGGCGCAGCTATCTGGACTGTCTATCTTGAGCTTGGGTCAGCTAATTTTCACGGAAGAGTTGGGAATGAGAAGGGTCTCTGTGAAACGTGTGCCTCGGGTCCTGACTGACCAGGAACAAGACTGTCGCGTGGAGACAGGGTGTGCTTTGAAAGAACAACTCCGAAGCGGCTCAAGACTTTTCCCCACGGTCGTTACTGGCGATGAGACGTGGTGCTGCTCTGACTATCCCGAAAGCAACCATCAATCAGGTCAGTGGAAGACGCCATCCTCACCTCGCTCAAAAAAAGCTCAAGTGAAATCAACGATCCGGACGATCTTCATTTGTTTTGATGTAAGAGGGACAGTGCATTTAGGGTTTGTTCCACCAGGTCAGGCAGACTGTTACTCAAGCTTTGTATTTATAGATTCTGAAAAGACAGCTTAACAGCGTCTGATTTGTGGCAGACGGGACGTAAGTTTTGCCACCGCCACAATGCACCTGGCCCAAGCAGCTATCTCAGTACGCCAGCTTTGGGCAAAAACGGCCTTTCTTGTCCCTTGCACTTGACTCACCTGCCTAGCTCCATGTGACTTCTTTTTGATTCTGGGAATCAAGAGGGATATGAAAAGACAGCAATTTGAAAATGTAGAAGAGGTGAGGAAAAAAACAAGGGAAGTATAGGCAGGCATCCAAACAGATGAGTTGGAAAAATGTTTCCAAGAATAGAATCGCATATTTGACAAATGTACTATGTGCATGGGAGAGTACTTTGAAAGTGATAAGGTTGTTTGTTTAAAAAAGTTAAATACATAACCTTGGAAAAAATTCTGTTTTCGGGGCTACCCCCTCATACATGTTTAATATGTCTGGCTTTCTTTTCTATTTCTATTTCATCACTCTAAAAGTTAAGTGCAAAAACATTTTTTTAGTCATGCGTATGTCATAATGCATAAGCTAAAACCTGTTAGCCATGCTTTAATTGTAGGAACATAAAACAACTGGTAGTTTTTCTTGTCATTCTCCTTAGAGGAATATTGCATCCCTTTCTGGACATTATACAATGTTTCTTGTCTGCAGGGCTTTTCGTGGACTTTTGATTCATGCATGAAGGATAAGTGGTTCATTCTGTTATCTTGTTTATGAACTATCACTACAGATAGCACTATCAAGTGATGTTGTAAGCTGTAAAAGGATAATTATAACTGTTATAGTTCTTTTCCAAAATAAACTCTTAAGTCATGGAGAAGACTCAAGACTATACATATAACTATTATTCCGTGTTGTTAGCATTATGAGGTTAATATTTGGCACCCTATATGTTTACAGGTAGATATGTAAACCTTGAAAGGCTTTGAAGAAGGAATAGGATTTCGCGAGAAGAGAAGAAGAAGAAGTGTGGTTCAGGTCAAAGGAGAGCGTACTGTTAGACATACTCAAGCTTAGACGATAAAGAGAACTGCCAGAAAGTTCTCAGAGCCTGTTGTGACAGGTGTACAGAATACGTGGAGGAGGGCAGCAGGAATGTCTGCAAAGCTCCACCAAGACTGTCTTGTGAAGAATCTTAAATCCTATGCAGAGGAATTTGATCATTATCTTCCAGATAATAGCAAACCTTCAAAAATATTTAAAGAGAAAAGTAATATAAAAACAAAACGCATTTGGAAATAACTTTATGAGAAACATAGCTTAATATCTAGTTTTATTCCTTGTGCCACTAGGCCCATGTTAACCACCACAACAAGAAAAGCCCAAACCAACCCAATTGCGTTTGAGTTCATTCTGACTGACAGGGACTCTATAAATGGATTCAGAGGCTGTAAAATTTTATAGGAGCAGGTAGCCTCATCTTTCACTAGTGGAACAACTTGTGAGTGTGAATTGTAGACATAATAGTTCGTAGTCCAGCACCACTAGGGAATCCTTAAGAATCAGCAGTCTCTCTTTCAACTATTTATACGTCTGGAGGGACTATTTAACTTGGGAACAAAGCATGAGCAAAGCAAAAATATTTGTTGACAGGAACTGAAGCCCTTCTGTTCAGCAGTCCTTCTGAGCCTGCCTCCGCACTGAGACATCGTGAGAGAAGAAGCTAGGTCCCATGCCCACAGCTCTGATTGAGTTCTTCTGAGAAGAACCCTACGCATTGTGATTTTCTAGTATGCCAGGTGATTCTAATACCTGTACAATTTTGAGAACTACCCTACTCAAGCAAAAATTTATTGTTCCTGCAATACTTAAACTCATTTTTCGACATTTTAAAATAAATGAAAGTTGAATGTTTCTTATAATTCTTGTATAGCTTTAAGGTGAGTTTCCTTACGTCTTTGCTACAAAATACCTATATTAAACCGATGGTTTATATTTTAAAAACTATTCTCTTAGAAGAAAATGTACTATGAAAAAAGGCTATGTAGAGCCAAGAACACATTAAATGAGGAAGTGATTGTCACCTTAACAAAGGGTGCTGGCAAAACTGAAAAAACGGGAAAAACGGGAGCCATCCCTCACACCATATACAAAAACTAACCCCAAATGGAATGAAGACCCAAATGTTAAACCCCAAACTATGAAGAATAAACAATCCAGGGGTAAGCTTGGGGTCACGTAGTATTGATGGCATCAATGCACTTGCCGTTGCTGTGGTGGTTGTTAGTTGCCACCTTGTCAGTTCCACTCCGTAGTCACCAGAAGGATGCATTGCCAGGTCCTGAGCCGCCATCCTCACAAGTAAGCCTAGGCTTGAACCCATGGTGCTAGCCACTGTGTGAATTCATCTTATTGAGAACCTTCCTCTTTTTTGCTGCCCCTCTACTTTACCGAGCTTGATGTCTTTTTCCAGGGACTGCTCGCTCTTGACCACCTGCCCAGAATACATAAGACAAAATCTAGCCATCCTTGTCTCTGAGGAGCACTCTGGCCTTACATCTTCCAAGAGAAATGTGTTTATCCCTTGGCGGTCTATGATACTTTCAATATTCTTCACCAGCATCACAATTAAATGACATTGATAGACGACTCACTAAAAAAAAAGCACAAATAACAGAAGATAAGCTAAAAATCAAACAGTTCTGTACATCAAATGAATTCTCCAAATGAGTGAAAGGAGAACCTGTGACCTGGATAAAATTTAAAGTGACATATTTGACAGGGGACTAACCTCTAAAACATATGTGATGTGCCATCAGTTTGATAATGACTCATAGGAGCCCGATGTACAATAGAACAAAACACCACCTGGTGTTGGACCCCTGCTATCCTCCCAGTTGTTATGTCTGACCCACCGTTGCAGCCACTGTATCAACCCCTCTCTTCCAGGGTCTTCCACTTTTTTGTCTGCTCTTCTACTTTACCAAGCATGATGTCCTTTTCCATCACTGAAATGGATATCGAATACCTCTGCTAATTTGCTTTATCTATATATTTATTTTTTAACCATCTTTTTCTTTAGGCTCTGAACTTCATGGGAGCAGGATCTTAGCTTCATGTTCAGAATTATGTTCTTACTTCTTAGCTCAGTTCCATTCACATTATAGATGATCATTAAGTATTTTCCAAACAAATGAATTAATGTGCAAAAGGCTTAGTGGGAGAGAGTAAAGTATCGGGTTTCTGCAGGAACGTAAACTATCATTCATATGATCAGTCATATTACTAGCCATATCTCTGTACTTGATTATGCTCATCAGGGATAGCCTGCATAACTTTATTTTAAAAAGAAACAAACAAACAAAAAAATTCCTAGGAATTTAACGCATCTGCGTTAATCAAGAGTATAACTTGGCTGCAAAAATGGCTAATACCTTATGTTACATTTCTGTAACAATTCAGTACATTGAACATGTAACATTGCACATTCCCGTTCAATTCCAAGAAGAGTGTACTTTGTTGTGCCAGATTATTTATTGATTGATATGAACTTCATACCATGTGGGAGACACTAGCAATCAGAGTGTATTCCAAAGATGACAAGCAAAAGAGATGCCACGTGGTTTGAGGAGTGTTTAAATTACTTCCAAAAGGAGAGGCACAGTGGAGAGGACTTAATCACTGAGTGGGTCTGTATACAAGTACAAGAAACTAGAGTCTTGCTGCAGTGCATTCTATGACCATGGGCAAGCTAGGTCTCTTTTGGCACTTGGTTGCCCTTCGGTCAGAGTCTAAGCTCTTCTCCAGGTCTAGGATCCTTGAATTTCTAAATGTCAATATCATGTGTTGACAAAAGAATTTTCTCCAGAAAAATGCATAATATAAAATAATGTAGGTTTAGTTCGTTGTGTTTTAGAAGGAGGAATAACCCTAACATGTGAGATGTAGAGAAGATTCCAGCTCATTCTATGGGAGAGCTTTTTAATCACTTCCTTAGGACAATAATGAAATAGTTTTTCAATCAAAGTAGTGGTGTTGTCAGCACAGTCAAGGATATGGTGTAATGCAAAAATTATGTTAGACATTCAACTTGATACAGTCTAAAGCTAGGGTCTTCTGGTCCTTCTGTCTAAGATAGTCCCCAGCTAGATCCTCAAGTGAATAATTTAGCAAGCTTGTATGACAGTATGTTGAATTGAATAAGTTATATTTATAATCATGAATTAAGGAGGGTGGGAAACATAGAGCTTTAAAACTCCCCCCCTTTGATCCTCTCTATCACGTTCAGCAGGTTCAAGGTCAACTGCCGCCATTAATGATTCCCGTATTCCCTCCTGATCAGCGAACACTGGCTGCAGCTGCCCAGCAAGGATTCCTTCTTCCCCCAGGCTTCAGCTATAAGGCTGGATGTAGTAAGTACCAGTGATTTCTTCATTTTGGGCATGGGTGGAGGTCATGCCTTTAATATAGGTCATTTCATATCACTGCCACACCAAGAAATGAGTTCGCCTGTAGAGCAGTTTTATTTTAACGCGAAAACACAAGATACAGGGGAAAAGATTTGTGGGTATACTTAAAAGTGCTTGGATTATTTCTGCGCCTTTGGAACCAATGTTGGTGCTTTGCTAATTGAGTTTCTTAACATCTTATCATCTCTCTTATTACTTTCTCTCAGAATCTGTATATTTCCCCCCTAACTTTAATAGTAAGCACTTTGAGGGCAAATGCTGATTCTATATTATTCTTATATCTCAACTTTTAGTACAACATTAAGCTGTTTTTTGAATGAATGAATATAAAATCTCCCACTATGTGTTAGGTTATTCCAAATAATGACTTATATTGTTTATTAACTATAGAGCTTGTGATTCTGACTTTATTTTCACAACAAAAAATACATTCTACATTGTTAGTTTTTTACATAAATAATTAATTTTTTTACATCAAGTACTGTACTTGGCTCTTGTAACCTGTTAAAGTAGTAATTGAAACTTTGAAACAGATCTAGTCTGCTGAACTGAATGTCTTTTTGAATAACATTGTTACTATGGGCAGAAAAATAGAAGAAACTCCTTTATTGAAATATTTTCATGGAGTACAGTAGAAACATTGAAAAATTACTAAATAATCCCATTTATATTGGGGGGTGGTTCAAAAGTTTCATAGGAATATTAAATTATTTTAATGCATAAATTTCACAAATTTTAAACAATGGTATTTGCATAAAACTGAGCTGGTCTAGGCTATGACAGAATTTGTATGATATTTTGCGCTTTCCAGTTTATATAGGCTTTTGGACACCTGGCTCTTGACTGTTGTATCCTGTGTTTTGATGTGGCAGTCTCTCTATGAGACCTTAGTAAATCCATCATTCTGGGGATCATTCAGTCACCCAGAAACACCAACATACTTTTTGTCTTAGTCTTTTAAAGTCGAATGAGTTCTATTATTCACTAGATTCTTCGTTTCTAATCACAAAGTATTGTTTTATTGGTTTCATTTGATTTTCTTTCCATTTTCCTAAAGAATTGCTATTCACATTAAACACATGATGCCAATATGTTTTTGGTGACTTTGGTTACTAAAACAAAGCAAAATAAAAGACATTTTTAACCATTAATATGTAGGCATTAAAAGACTTCAAAAGTTGAGGGGAAAATTCAATTTTTTAAATGTCATTTTTTTCTACAAACTATTTGAAGCCCCTTGGTATATCTAAATTACTTCTGTTCTTTAATTTGAAAAAAGAAAAGGAAAAAAATTTGTACCAAAGAGAAAAACTCATATCCATATTGAGTAAAAATTATAACCTAACTGTAGACCTGGAAAAAGTCAAAAACACCTCTCCTGTACTCCTGTTTGACAGGGTTTGCCTAATAAAAGTTATTCAATGTTAATGTAGTATGGCATGCGAAAATGTTTCTCTTCTAAAATTATTATTATTTTGAGCAGTTTTATTCTTGCATTCAATCTTCTTTTGACCCTAAACACCAAAAGCTTTGTTGACTCTCCCAGTTAAAGTGCATTGCCCTCTGGATGGCCAAGTCTGTCCAAGATATCAGATACCAGCTAAGAGGTTTGGACTCGCTGTGATGCCCTCGCGTCCGACCTGCTGGACTCCAGTACTATCTGGGGTTTGAAATTTATCAGAATGACTTACAGAACGTGGGAAAACACAGAACTCTAATTAAGACTATTTCATTATAGTAAAAAGATACCAAGGAAGGGCTTCATAGGGCAGGGTTGGAAGGATTCCCAATCTGGGGAGCCCATCATCCTCCCCTGGTATACCAGTGTCTATCACCAATGAGAGAGCCCCTGGAGCTTCCATGCCTTTATTGGGACCTCATAATCAGGAATGGTTAATGGAAACATCCTTCAGCTCCCCTTCCATTCTTAATTTAGAGCTGATATCATAAGATTGGTGTTTCTAGTCTAACCATTTCCCATCCAAGAATTACCTCATTACCATAAATCCTCAGGTATAATTTGGAACTCTGACAGATAAAAGACATTTCAATCATGGGGAATTCCAAGTTTTTTGACATTGTTTCTCTGGAAACAAGGACTAAGACCAAATTATTTGGGTAAAATTAGCCCCACAACAGGCTATCTTGATTTTAATTTTAAGCACATATGAAATGTATGTTCTTAGTTGTTTTTAAAAACCTA